AACAGTTGATTAAAAACCTTGTGAAATTTGTAGTATACGCAGTCCCCTGGGTGGTCCACTGTGGCCTCCTACAAGCGTCAGCCTCACGCCTTATTGGTAATCCATGCGTGAGTGTGTGACCTAAATGGCCAATTTGTGAATGGAAATGAATCGCTCGAAACTGGCCGAATGGAAGAGAGCAGCCCATCTCCCAGCAGCTCTCCTCGTTCTGCTCACACGCTCTGTCTGGTTCGCACCTGGAGGACATTGAGGATGTTTTTGGACAGAGGCCTGCCTAGGAAAATAAACCTGCGTCTGACCTCAAGCGCCAGTCGCGGAGTCTCCCGACCTCACCACCTGACACGATCTTCCTCCCACAAGCACAGGCAGCGTGCCTGGGTGGCCGCTCGGCAAACTTTCTTTTGGTGCCCTTTCAATGAGGAAAAACAAAAGCTACGAGGAAGAAGAGCAAAAACGCTGACTGGACTCTTGATGGGTTTTTTTTTTCTCATCCACCTTCTTGGCCTTCATTTACTTTCACTCAAATAAAACCTGATCTGGGAAGCTCTTTGCACATTGTTCTCTGGCAAATGTTTGTTGTGTTTCTGCCCGGTTCTTCTCCAAGGCCTTGCTGGCTGAATCAAATCGCAGCTAGAATTGATTCGTCTTTGAGTGATGCTCGGGTATTGCGGTAAGAGCGTTGTTGCTCTTCCTCAACCTCACCTCCGCTTGCCTCCCTCGCCTCTCCTTCCCTGAATCTTTTCTGTGCATGTGTGATGGCATCTGCAATGATGCTCCTTTGATGTGGAGGAGATCTGGGGTAAGCAGGGTGATTAGTTGAGGCTGCGAGGGATGCGAGGCAGGTGCACCACCGTTGTGTGTGTGTGTGTTGATCAGTAGTACTCTTCTTTCCTCCCATCAGACCGCGATCGACCATCCTGAATACGAATGCGTCTCTCTGGAATTCCACAGTTTCCTGCATAAACCCGCTTTTCAATCAACACTAAACTCATCTGTGCAACTTTGCAGTGCACCACATCTCCACTCTTATCTGTTTCAATGCATTCCTTAAACCCTTTTGTCCCACTTTGACTCCTTTGAAACCAATTCAGACATTTCCTGCAGCCAGCTACAAAGCCCGAAAACCTGTGTGAGCTGCTGACAGACATGTGTCCACAAAGGACACAGAGGGAGAAACACTTTGATTTGATGCATTGTGGAGGGGAGAAGATGGGCAGCGCGGGGAGGGAAACGGGCCCGCTCTCTGATTTGATGGATGTTTCTGACGCAAACTGGTAAAAAAGGTGAGTGATGCTGGTGGTGCAGATTTGTGTGTGTGTCCAAATAAGTGTGTTTCCCCCCTCCTCCTCCTCCTCCTCCTCCTCCTCCTCCTCTTCCTCCTCGTCTTCTGCCTCTGTCTCAAACAAAAGATTCAAGCCAAGGCTACAAAATGGTAGTGGTGGAAGGAAAATAACTTTTTTTTTTGTTTTGCATCAATTATTTATTACTTCTCTGGACACCTCGGAGGCGAGAAAGTTTGCCAGCCATTGTTGCAAAGGAGGTATGGGGGAGCAGAGTGTAATCGCTAGGTACTTAGAGATCCAAGAAAAGTGAGGGAATCAGAGGAAGAAGAAGAAGGAGCGGAGCAGCGAGAAGAGGAAAGTGGAGAGAACTGTAGCAGTGTTGGGAAGAGAGAAATAAGAGATTTTCGAGCTCAGAGGCGAGATGTTTGTAATCGTACTTCTCCTCCTCACTAGATGTGGCTGCACAGGTGAGTCAGAATTTTACATTTGCGGTGTTGCTAAGGGAGGAAAAAAAACAGAGCGAAAGTTAGCAAACCAGCGACCCCAGGCATATATTTCATGTGGTCACCGCAAGCCCATGAAAGCATTTTTTTATGACATGATGTCAAATGCAATATATTCTTCAATGCTCACAGTAAAAGTGGGGCTACATGCCTGGAAATAGGTTTACTGCAATTTACTTTTTTCCATGTTATGACTTGTTGGGCTGAAATCAGACATAAAACAATTATAATACATCACAGAGTGGCAGGCGTGTTTGTCTTCACACACACACACACACACACACACACACACACACACACACATACACACACACACACAATCTTTCTTTCAATCTCTCTCATGTTCACTCCTTCTTGCTAAACCAGCCTCTTTAATTTACACACACATGCGCACACACACACACACACACACACTATAGCCTAATTAGGATAAGCTCCATATTTCTTTTATGAGTCCAATTAAAAACTAAGTGGGGCCACTTCTCAAAGCTGTCAGACCGTTTGATGTCGAGGTAGCAACCTCTCGCCATAGCCGCTGTAGGAAGCTGTCTTGAGCCTGGACGCGGGTCTCGTGGCGCTTCACCTCTAATTGTCCCCTAACTGAGTTCCACGCCAGCAGTAAAAAATCTTTTACGACTGGGCCATCCGACTATTCTGAGGATGGGATCTCAGTCACTCATAAATATGGGTTACATCATTTATGGTGTCTCCTTAAATTGATCTAGATAGATTCTTCGTCTGTCACGGGGATGTGTGTGTTTGAAGGAGGGGGGGATTGTATTTGTGACACGGCCAAAATAGATCACAAGCATCATCGCAGACATGGTTTAATTGTTCCACCAGTGCTGTCTCTGTTTTTATTCTCTTTAAGATCTGGCAGCCAGTCTGTCTTTCCCCCCCTCTTTTCCTTTCCCTACTGGAGGTTTGACTCTATGTTTTTAAAGATCTCGAGCATCTACAGCTTTCACCGTCAATACCTCGAGCTCGTTCATTTTTTCCTCTTTGTCATCTCAGAAATTTCTCTTAAAAGCTGCCTTTTAACAGTCGGTGTGGGGTTGAGGGGGGGGGAAGGATTTGGCTCTTTCTTTGAAACTGTGGCTGTGTGGTCTGGCACCACCCACATTATATCCCCGCTTTGACAACCTGAACCTAAACATTTCCCTCAAAGAGTTGTAATCTAAACGCAAAATCTAGCGCACCACTGTAATTTACAGAATCTGTAGGTTAAAGGAAGCCGGCGTGTTGCGGCAGGGAAGAGGCGACGCAGAGGGGAGTAATTCACTTTTAGGGGGGAGTCTGACTCAGGATCCAGATGCTGAAAGGAAAGGAAGGAGCATTTGTGTGTGACGAGGTATGCGTGTAACTGCGTGTTTTTCTTTACACTTTAAAAAATCTGTTTTAGGTTTAGATATCGCCTATAAATGTCAACCTCTAAAAGGAACCTCAACAAGCAGGCAAAACCAGCAAAACAGAAAGGAGAAGGTTCTTGTAGTACATTGCACATTTCTCCTGTCACAGTAAAATACCCACCAAATGAAAGATACATGATACCTATATGAAGCAATAAACGTCATAGGTTTAAACTTAGTCCTTGTGATCGTTCTTTACAAGGATTGAATCGTGGACATGCGCTTTTTTCTGTTCAGAAAGGAAAGGAAGTCTGTTCAAGCACAGCACATGATGAAGAAAAGCTCCCCCGCTGCACGGTTTCCGCTGATCCGTGATCTCAATAGTGTACACAAGTCACCATCTGCTCCACTATAAATATCACATATACACTCACTCAACCAGAAATCAGGTTAAGTAGTCATGACTGTTTTACTCAGGGCAAATAAAACATGATTTTGTCATTAAACGTTCTCCCGCCCTGAGGTGGTAAGTGGTACGAACATATGTGGTTGCATTTTTTTATGCATGATAATGAGAAATGTAAATATGATTGGCTCTAAATTAGAGAGAGAACATCAAGGAATTTACTCGATCACTGAAATGTATAAGAGGAACCCATTGTTGTTGTTGTTGTGCTTTGTTTTGTTTACATTGTCTTCCTAACCCCCCCCGGAGTTCACCGTTTCCACAATCATTCAAACTTGCCATATAATCAGCCGACAAAAGTGCCTAAGCACCCTTTCGGTGGATGGATGATCCATGCTGAGACCCAAAACAGCCACCAGGTGTTTACACTTGTCTTGCAGGAAACTAATTTGACTTTCCCAACAAAAGCGAGACTTTCTCTCCGGGGTAAACCCATAACAAATGAACAGACAGACAGGCCTGCACAAGTTTGCCTGCTCTCGCGCATTGCCGCTGGTATTTCCAGTTCATGTGGTGTGGGCCACATCATGTGAGGCCTCTTTACCCAGATTGCTATTATGATTTTATTGCAGTCTTGATTAGGCACATGTGACTAACTGCAAACCCCTGTTGGCAGTGGGCGAGCGGTTGGCAGAAAACCGAGGTCATCCGGAGCTCTGAAATGTAACAAGATTCTGCCTCGTGGGTTCACAAGGCGAGAGCCGTTCGCCGGGAATTTGATTCTTCTGACCGTGTGGAACAAAGTTGGCCCAATTCACCTCATTTCACACGTTAACTGTTGTGCCTGCATAGGGGAGAGAAGACATTTTCATTCTGCAGGCGGGCTCCACTACCTCACAGAAGAAAAATGCTAACCCTGCTTCACTTCCCACGGAAAAACCAGCCAAGTTGACTTGGTAAGAGAAGGAAAATATTGGGGTCTTTTAAATGCAAAAATTCAGAGGAGGAGGGGAGGGACGGGGGGGAAATGGAAATATGACCATTTTCCTGACATAAAAAGCAGAGCACATCAAAACTCAATCATGATATTTTCAAGAATAGGTTGGACTTGGTTCCTTTTCTTCCCTTGGACTGTTTTTCCAGGGTATGGGGGAGAGAAATGGAAAGAGACATAGTTATGATTTGTATCATGATGGATGCCAACACAAATTGGGTAGCCATTTTTTTTTTCTTCTCCCTGTTAGTGGGACTGCTGCAGAAAAAGACCCATTAGACATTTACCACATCAAAGAACCATTCAAATCTCTATCATACACGGAGCAGGGAGCCAAGGAAAGGAGGGAGAACTAAATTAATGCAACCTTTTAAAACAATAAAAAAAAAAAAAGGGGGCTGGTGCGTTTTCAGGAATCAAAGTGAGGAGAGGGGCTGTGATGCTCTGCAGCTCTTGTGTGGTCCCAGCTTCTCTTTTTCTGTCTCTCCCCCGGCTCTTCCTCTTTCTCTCACATTCTCTCTTCCCTCTTTTGTGGCTGTAAGCCTATGAGCTGGCGTGGGCCCTTCCTTACTACACACCCAGCGGGGCTTTATAAAGGCAGGGCCGGAGGTCTCAGCAGCCACACACACTCTCTGCCTGTGCCTCTTGCCTTTTGGTCTGGGTGCTGCTCTGAAAGCCGGCTGTGTCAACCGCTCCAGGCTGCAGGTCGCGTGGATTAGAGATGCTTTACGGGGCCCCCGATCTTCTCGTTATCCTTCTTGGCTCCATCCTCGTGGCCGCGGGCCAGGCCGCTATGGACAGCCAAGGTGAGGAGACGACAGAGTTGTTGTTGTTGCATGAGGTTGGGATATTAGTAGCACTGCGGGCAGACAAACAGACACACAGGGAGACCCGAGCAGGTAAACCTCAACCTGGGAAAGGATGAGTGAGTGAGGAGAAAATATTTTTAAAGAGCCTGAAATGCGTTGGTGCATGAGGACAAACTCAGGTGTGTGGGAGTCTTTTAGTGGACAAAAGCTTGTGTCAGTGTATTTTTTGCCTGTGTCTACCTGTTTGTGTAAACTGTGGGATGGACTGTTTGTCTTTCCGTTGTTTTGGTGTGTGGCTGGAGGAATGTTCCCCTTTTGACTTCCTTTGCTGTGAGCCTCTCAGTGGGCATGAACGGACAGAAACCCAAGTGTCTTCTTGGCTGTTTCTGTCATTTTTTTACACTTCCTGAGAAACTGCTCTTGTTGTTTATCCGAAAGTGTCAGAGAGAAGCAAAGGCTGACGAGTGCATGCAATCACTGAAACACTGAAATTTATCTTCTGTGACATTACACACACTCACATATATTAAGCAATCACTGTTACATACAAGGCTTATTCTCTGAGATTTGCCCACATCCATTCACACTTACCCCCTCATCCCAATCTCTGTCTGTGTGTGTTGTCATGGAGCAGCGCTGTACGAACTGGAGAAGGAGCCAGCCTACTGGGATGCACAGGCAAAGACAACACTGGATGCTGCACTGAAACTCCGACCTCGGGATCACCAGGCCAAGAACATCATCCTTTTCCTCGGTGACGGTAGGTCCATCATTATGAAATCCATTCTAGCAAGCATTCGGCACTGGCATAGTTGTGGTTGAGGTTTGTGCAAGAACTGTGTTGCTTTCCTCCTTACTGACAAAAATGGGTTGAACAGTGCACTGTGTGAACAGCAGCGCAAGGATGTCTATGTAACGACATTTAGACAGTTTGGTTAATTAGTTCAGACTTGTAAAACTGACTGTTTGTCTGTGGGGACTTGACAAGACAATGCTTGCAGTTGTGGGAGTACTGGCTGAAGTAGAAAGGCTGACAGAGTGTGACATTAATCACTTAGAGAGGCGGACAGTTGGGCATACAAGGCATGTGACACTGGACTTATGACTGCTGGACTTTTTTATTTTTATTTTTTGGCCTTTTTGCCTTTATTTGAGAGTGCAGTTGAAAGGGAGACAGGGAAGTGGGGGAGAAGGACCTGTGGAAAAGGACCATGAGTGGGATTCAAACTCATGACTATAGCTCCTGTACATGGGACACCAGCTCAACCAGGTGAGCTATAGCGGTGCCCCATAACTGCTGGACTTTGTATTGTTTTTTTTCCTTTTTTGGTATCACTTGTCAACATTTTTTTTGGTTCAGTCACGTAGTTGGTTTTCCTACAATCAACCAAGTTTAAAAACTGAGCTCGAGTGAATATTGGACTTAAATCTATCTTTTGCCAAGAATCCAGACTCCAAAGGACAGATAACGTTTCAGTTCACTGATTGTCACAAACTGCATGTTAGAACTCAGCTCGCCAGAGGAAAAGGACCTAACATGCAAACTAAAAATGAATGTTTTCTAATGAGTACTAGGGTTTTTGAGTAGCAACGTAAATCAGCACAGGTCACAAAAGGGGGAACAGAGGTCAGATGCTACTCTAAAACAAAAAGATGTCTAATGGCAAGGTTTAAACTCACTTACCTGGCCTCTATTAACAGCAACATAATACAAAATTAAAATCCTATGCTGCCTTATCTCCATTTATTCACCAAACAAAAACTAGAGGCAGGAGTAGCGCCCTTGTTCCAGCCTCCAGCGACATTATCAAACGATTCACAAGTCTACAATGGGCAAACTTTTTCACAGCCACAATAGGTACCAGAAATCATACAAACAAGAGGCACAAAGGCAAGCTGCTCTCTCTAAATCTCAACCTCCCAGATTTGCAGTTTGGCCAAGCAGGTGCTGTAATGACAGGCGCAGCTTGATTGGAGTGCAGCGCTGCGGTACCGATCCAATCAGGAGGCCGGATGGAGGAGGAGCTGAACGGCTGAACCGGGTCCAAGTGCAGGCACCAATCCAGGACAGGGGCTTGTACATACAAATTTACATATGGAACCAGGACAAGGTTAATCACACCAAAAGGAGCACAATGGTCCAGGGCCCTGCTCCTGTTTTGTAGGTTCGGTATGAGGACTTTGAATTTAGCAGTGTGTTTTATGCATTTACATTTTGCACCCTTCTCCGTAAAGCACTGAAAAGGCACTGCTTAAATTGTCCTTAACATTGTGCTGATGATAAAATATCAAAAAACGACAAATTATTGTTTTGGTGATGATTCATTGGGAAAAGTGTAGATGCTAATAACAGCAGGTGTTTGTACAAAGGTGTTTAACCACATGCTTTTAAAATAAATAAGTGTATTGTATGAAAATGATAGAGGGCAATGTTGTCATGTTCAGTCTGACCTTGTGTTTGAACCACTTTGCTTAAATGCAGAAACAGCGACACAGAAGTGTGCTGATGTGGCTTCGTGTCACAGTAGCATGATGGCGCTGCAGTTGGGTTGGTTTAGTAGGTTTAGCGCAGAGCAGCATTTTATGAATAAAACTTTCATAAATGAGAAAAACATACTTTTTCTTTGCTAACACACTATGTATACGTCAAAAGAAATATAATTTTAGATTTAGCCAGACTCATAGAGGTGTGGAGCGGTTACTGCCTAAAACAATACCCATGCATGAAAGGGTTAACAAATGTTCTTATAAACAAACAAAGCAACGTTTATCCTCACCAAAATGCATTGCGTGTACTCCTAACTAATGCATGTTAAATGCATTTTCTTCCTCACAAAACATTTACAAAGCAATTTTTTTAATATATTTTATATCGTGCATTGTTTGCACTCTTGTTTTCTTGTTAGCAGTCTTCTTTTCCACTGCCTTTGCTGGCACAGTTCTGCATTTGTTGGCACCATAAACTGCCGATTAGCTGAGTGTAGTATAGTGTGTGTGTGTGTGTGTGTACAGTGTGAAACCATCTGCACGATTAGAGTCCTGGCAACAATCACATGCCTATTCATGCACTGCATGTTCACTACCTTGTACCTTGAACATCATGAGATGCTTGATGGTCCCTCCTTCAGCGGTGTAGTCTGGCACTGCAATGCATGAGGTCGACTTTTGCCAGTTAGGGAAAGTTTCCATCTGGATTAGATTTGATTGGAAAATTCCTCACATTAATTGTCACTTGTGCGGTGCGCTCGCAGCTCGTGAGGCATTGAATTAATTTATGTAAGGAAAGCCGTTTAAAGGCGTAAAAGATTTAAGAATGTTTTTTCCTGTTAGCTACTACAGTATCTGGTTTAAATCAAACCTACTTATTCACGTTCAGGGTGGTCGAGGCTTCTCTCCTGCCTTGCTTTGCCCAGAGCCTGTTCTCGGTTTAATGACTGTGACTTTTAAGGGAGAAGCAAACACACAAGTGAGTTTCTTCGACTAGAAAGTCAGTGGCAACATCTGAGAAACTGGACAGGACACAGCACAAGATACAACAGATTCCTTAGCTGTTATATTTTTCACTTGGTAGCAGCTTAATGTGTGCTGATATGTTGAATATTCGACCAGTAGTATCTGAATAGTTACCTGGAAGAATTAGTGTTGAGCCTGGTGATGATTTTGTTTTTTTAAAGGTTCCACATTGTGTTAGATTTCTCCAGAATGCATCTTTCAGTTATACTGCTGCCGTCCCCTTCAGGAAGGAGACTCACTCTGCATCTGTGCTTGACAGTGCAGAGCAGATGTGTGTGAGACCAGGACATTCTATCGCTTCTGACTGTCTTTTTGAGCAATCATTTTACATGGTCATTCATCAAATTTACAGCACAGTTGTTTTAAAGTCATATGTATGGTGAGTTTGCCAATGTTGGGGTAAAAAAGTACAAGGTGTTTCAGAAAGGTTCCAGGACTGGTGTCACAAAACTACAAACTACGAGTTTTCCCCTTCAAACGATCAACCATCTACAAAGAGATCCTGAGGCGTTTGCTTCCTTCAGTGTGCGAGAAGAGGCGAGAGCTGTGGCAGGACGAGTCGTGGCTGCTTCATCATGACAACGCCCTGAGCATCCCACAGTTCCTGGCTGAGAAGAACATCTCTGTGCTGGAGCAACCTCCCTACTCACCCCACCTGGCTCCGTGGGATTGTTTCCTCTTCCCCAAGCTCAAGGGGGTCATCAAGGGGACCCGTTTAGAAGACGTGGACGACATCAAGATGGCTGTGATGACCGAGCTGTAGAGGAGAATCCTTCCAGAAGTGCATGGCGGCGTGAAGAGAAGGCTGGGGAAGTGTGTTAGACTCCAGGGGGGCTACTTCAAAGGGGAAAACTTGTAGTTTGTAGTTTGGATTAGTTTGGACACCTCGTAAAGTCAGTGCAGAACAGCAGCTTGAAAATGTCTGATCAACATGTAATCTTAATAAGCTGCATTTCACTCCCTATTTATGCTCTTTATCTGACGAAACAGAAACAAGAAAAAATTGGAAATTTAAAATATGCAAAGAGCTTTAATGAGACTTCTACTGTGTTTAAATGCTGTATATGTGAGCACAGAGAGCAGGAGAGAAGGAATGGCAGAACTAAACATTCTTATCTTTTACGTTACATCTCTTTATAACAACCACAAATTACAATAAAAATGCATTTAAAGTCCATTTGTGGGTGCAGCTGATGTTAACTGACTTCACATGCGTTGACTTTGTTTGCTCATATTTCACTTCTTCAGTGGGGCCTGCGCTCCAGTTGAAGAACTATTACTTTAATACATTATTTATTATGTCCGTAGACAGAGATAGCTCGCCTAAAAAATAAAGTCGGACCATAACAGTGACCTTCACTTGTCAATCATTGTCTCGTAGGAATGGGCGTGTCCACAGTGTCAGCAGCTCGAATCCTGCGAGGTCAGATGGAGGGTGGTTCTGGGGAAGAAACCATGCTGGCCATGGACACCTTCCCATACGTGGCCCTGTCTAAGGTGACAACACAGTTCTGCTGACCTGTAGGTTCAAAATATAAAAATGCAACGCAATCCGTTGGAACGCTGGAATACATGTTCATCATGTGCAAGTAAATACTTCTAAATGTTTCTGTTCCTCTGCATTTAAACATTTATCACAGCTTTTAGTAATTGCAGCTTTTTACCAGCACATTATCTTAAAAATATTGTATTGATATTTGTAAATGGAAAAAGGAACACGTTTCACACACACACAGTTTTCAAATACATCACGGCTAAGAAATGGAAACAGGCCAAAGCACTTTTTTTTTTTTTTTGTAATCATCTTTGCACTCTGTTACCTCTGAATTGCTTTTGCCACGACACACACACACACACACACACACACACACACACCCACACACACACACACACACACACGCATGCACACACACAATTCTTAAATCATGTGTGTGTGTCTGAGTGTTCACCAGGCATGTATTCATGCACACAAATGCTTATAGATCTTTGAATGCGCCCGGTGCTGCTGGGTAAATCAATACAGTGTGACACATGGAAGAAAATAGCAGATGAGATTTAAGGGACAAAAAGAAACAGAGACAGAGAAAGATTCACTGCAAATGAATCCTTCAGTTAAAAAAAAAAGCAACAACAAAAACACAGAGTGGGTTGATGGTTTGTGTCCATGTTTTATATGCTTTGTTCCCTTAACCTGTCACATCTTGTTGCGTGCTATCCCCCCTGCAGCTTCATTCCTCAAAACTTTTTTAAGGTATTTTGTTGAAATCAAGACTTTAACTAAAAATCCTGACAGCGTGGAAGAGTCAGATTGAGCATCCTGAATCCTATAATCCATAAATTATTGTAATTTAAGTATAATTGAAGGGATGGCTGAGTATTTTGTGTCTTTGGTGTCTTTCCCAAACTATAATCAAAAAAGGGGTTTACATTGGCTTTGTTCAGGGGGAAAAAAAAAAACCCATAACGTTTTCTAGTTGTAGATTTTTCCCAGGAAGATCTGCTGCTCAAGTGACAGATCACCAAGCGTCATTCATCAAATCAGCTTAGAGGAAGGGGAATAATGCCTTAATTATACCATGGGCTGGATGGGAATATACTCATTTTAGTATATAAATACTGAAATTTGCTATAAATTAAGGTTTCTGAATACTTTCTGAATCCACTGTGTGTTTATTTGCTCTTCTGTCTGTTTGTGTTTCTGCTCCACAGACCTACAGTGTGGATAAGCAGGTAGCGGACAGCGCCAGCACGGCTACAGCCTACCACTGTGGGGTGAAGGCCAACGCGAAGACAGTAGGACTCAGTGCCAACGCGGTGGCCTACGAGTGTAACACCACCTTCGGCAACGAGGTCTACTCAGTGCTGCGGCGTGCTAAAGCTCAAGGTAGAGACACCACATGTCTTACAGTGTATGACTTGGAGCTGTATATTCTTATCTCTAGATATGCAATAACTGCAATCTGCCCTAAAATATAATATGAGGAATAAAACAATCATCTGATAAACTGCTACTCATCTGTCGGCGGTTAGTGTTCAATGTTCAGAATGTATATAATAAAGGGAACGTTTCATGTTGACCTGCCTCACTTGTGTGGCTGTGGTCATTTTACAGCATATTTTAGGAACAATAGCACTCATGTGTCTAATCTATAAATGTCTGCATGCATTAGGTGTAGACACACATGTTTGGATGATTTGTGTACGTCAGAGCATGACATAGCAGATGGCGGATCTACATTGTGTTTAAGTATTGCAAGGTTTGGCTTTACAATAATAACAGTTTTATTTAAAAAAATATTACCTTAATTAAATAAAACACAGTAAACTCAAACAGCAGTAAAATAACAATTAAGTACATGAATTAAAGGGCAGCAGAGAGTTTGCTCACAGTGATCACTGTAATCAGTCTGTGTAAACTATAAGAAAGTGGAGGGACAGGAATAAAGAAAAGAACTCTTAAGTTCAGCCTCCACAAAGGGGTACAAAAAATGCTGGACAGCTATACGCTTTTCTTTTTCCCTCTATCAGATCCAGCAGTATTACTTTAAATTCAGTTATAAGGAAGCATTCAAAATAAATGAATGAAAGAAAATAGAATGAATACATAAATAAATCAATAAAAATCAGACTATCAAGAGGGGCCTTATATTCATAAAGGTCCCCTTGGCAAAGCTTTTTTTTTTTTTTTCAAATCATCGTTCTGCTTGCTATGATGCTGGACCAGGCATTTTTAAAAAAGAAAAGAAAAAAAAAAGATGCTGGACAAGCCTTCATTAATGCTACAACCCATCTAGTGGTCAGCAGAAAGGTCTTTATTTAAATACCTAAAAGCTACCATCTATGGGGTAAAGTGTAACAGCAAAAGCAACCATGCCAGCATTGTGAGCTCCAGTAGCAAGAGTGTGGTTATAAGTGCAAGCTACACAGGGCATACTTTTTATCCATACTTTCTCAGATGTGGACAGTTAAGCCCAGGTACCACCCAAACACTCTTCCCCTGTCAGACTATTGAGGGTGCAGAGGGCTGTAGCAACAAAAAGGAGGTCAAGATGAATCAATAGTTCAACAAAACATTGGACTTCACCACAGGAGATTGTTCATTTCCCATTTCACACAAAAAGTGTCTTTTAACGACGTTCTTTCCACAGCTTTAAACGTGTGTGTACTGTTGTAACCACAAAGGCCCTCTTTTTTAATCAACTCACCCAAAACCCAACCAACCAGAGAGGAAACGGAATTGTTTCTCGGTTAATACAGAACCAAGAAATTCATGTAGTGTTCAGAGAGTAGAGACAGATACCCTTTCTAGTTGTTGGAAGATTCTTTCACGCTGCATTTATTTAACGATTACCTGTTGTAGCTCTAACTTGGGTGTGTCTGTGTTTTGTTCAGGTAAATCAGTTGGCATAGTGACCACCACCCGGGTCCAGCACGCCTCCCCAGCCGCTGCCTACGCCCACTCCGTCAGCCGCAGCTGGTACAGTGATGCAGATCTTCCTTCCAGCGCACGCCAACACGGCTGCGTCGACATCGCCACCCAGCTGGTCACCAACATTGATATTGATGTACGAGAGAACACTCCTTACGGACTTTAGTTTTAAATGTGTTTTAGGACTTTAGGAACATTTTAACAGACTACAGGACTGATAGACAAGGTGTAGGGAATATAAAACAAGACACGACTCTACATGGAAGTGATAAACTAGTCTTTAACTCATCCATATTCTTCCCCCCTCATTACAACTCTTTGAGTTCAACAGGAGATTGAAATTTCTGTAAATTATATCATCGATTTCAGATACATGATATTTGAGTGAAAAATTCTACTTTTTTAAAAAAAAATACTGTATAAACTGTCATTTCTGGCTGAATGCTGATGCACACTTGGTTTTGTGCCTCATTGTTAAATCATATTATCCCTGAATAATTTATCCCTTGGGACGCACACTGCACCAAGGAATCATGTCAAGTCTACTGCAGCTTTTAATGTAAAATACAAGGAGTGAGCTCTCAAATCAGAGTGTCTACCCTAACATAGATAAACTAACACAAAGCAGCATACATAAAATATCAAAGCTCTCCCTGTAGTCAGAACAGATGTATTGCTTTATGACATTGCAAACATAGACTTGCACAACCAATAGAGCATACTTACATCTGTCCCATACGCAAAAGACGGGGTGTATTTTTTGTCCTTAAGATCTCAACCCAGCTTTGAAACCCACATACAAATGAGCATTATATACTCTTAACCATTTTGGTCTTCAGTGCTCTGATTTTAGCCAATCCACTGAGAGAGTAATTTGCACTAGATGTAAATACTGGAAAACTGCAGGGACCAGCCGGTACACTTCTTCTATTGATTCTCATGATTGCCTTCTTTCTGATGTCCTTTAAGGTCATTCTAGGGGGAGGCAGGATGTACATGACACCAAAAGGCACCCCTGACCCCGAGTACCCTACGTCCAACTCTCGCAAGGGCGACCGCAAAGACAAGAGAAACCTCATTGACGTGTGGCTGAAGGCTAAACCAGTACGGTTATTGGACATTACTGTGAGATATTTACTTATCTTTTAGGCAATTGCAACTATTTACAGTTTCACCTTTCCTCTGCTGTTTGTTTCAGAACAAGAAATCGCACTATGTTTGGCACAGGAAGGACTTTGATGAGATAAATGTTAGAACTACTGACCGCCTCATGGGTAGGTATATATGCATGTTATAAAGACATATAGCATATCGCGTTTTGCTGATAAGCACAGATACATAAGCCTACTGTAGTCGGCTACATAAACACACATCAACGCTCCAGACATGGTGAATAAAACTGGTAGAAACAGAAAACAGGCAGAAAAACACATTAAAACACCCAATATATCTGTACTTCTGAGTCTTTGTTGCACAAGGGTTGGCAGAGAAACTTATCGAAGTTGTGAAACTTTCTCAAGGGCTTCGAAACAAGAGAAATCCAGTAAACTCAGCTTTCATCTTTATAGCCATGTAAAGTAAACTGTTAATAGTCGGGCACTGTAAATGCACAGTTGAGTGGTGTTATCGCCGCCTACTACAGCAGTAAAAACCAAAGGGTGTGTTCCTTGCTGTGATGTGTTGGACAGAACAGACTTCGTTGCCAATATCACAGAGCCATTATCATCTTGTTATCATCTTGCCCACTTATATAGCTACCCAGTGAAGTACGTTTGGTTTATAACTATACAAGCATTCCTTTTGCACTTGGCTTTTAGACGTCAATCTCTCATTCTGTTTTTATTCCCATTTAGAGCGACCTTAACATTGCTGTCTGTTGTTGCATCGTTTTTCATACTAACACGTGATCAAACGTCCTTTTTGTTTGCTGCTCCAGGTCTGTTTGAGCCCAAGGACATGAGATTTGAGGTTTTCCGGAATAACACGCGTGATCCATCCATTGTGGAGATGACAGAAAAGGCCATTCAAATCCTCAGGAAGAATCCCAAAGGATACTACCTATTTGTAGAAGATGAGTACCATATACCAATCGTCTAATTCTAAATTTAAAAGACGCTTATTCTTCTTAACGATGTAAGAACACACTCATGGTAATTTGTGTCTTGAAGGAGGATTACCATGAACTCTTGAAACTTGCTTCATTATACCAAGATACATGTAAAAGCATACCTCTTGATTTTCAAAAAAAAAAGTATAAAATGTTTTGGGCCTAGTCTAAATTCCTTTTCTGTTATCCTCCGTTACGAGGGAGAATCGATCACGGCCATCATGACGGTATTGCCAAACTGGCGCTGACTGAAGCGGTGATGTTCGACCGTGCCATCCAGCGAGCAGCGCAGCTCACCAGAGAGTCTGACACACTGACCGTGGTCACTGCTGACCACTCTCATGTCTTCACCTTTGGTGGGAACACACCTCGTGGGAATCCCATCTTTGGTACGATTCAGAGCATGAACACTTGTTTGCGGTGCAGATTGAAGTTAGCATGAAAATCATATTCAGGCGCATGAAAGTTACAATAAAACGAGCCCAGAAGACAAACACATATGCAAAAAAACTCCATACCTATCTAAAATACCGAGGCTAGAATAAGACATTCATATATGGAGATGTTTAATATGCATCATATTTAAGATTGAAGAACTTGCATGGTGACTGCTTTGCTTCTTTTTTTTTCTCTCAAAGTACAGATGAGTTTGTGTCCTTATGTTTCCTTCAGGTTACAATACAGGACACTGTTGCTCACCTCTCCCCGTGCTTTGTTTGTCATTCAGGTCTGGCACCGAAGAAAGCAGACGACAAAATGCCTTTCACCAGCATCCTCTATGCCAACGGCCCCGGTTATGTTCATATAAATGGAACCAGAGGGAACATCACAATGGTGGATTATTGTAAGCACAAGCTAATGTCTTTCAGATGCTGCAGTCGTCTGCGCCGATGTGTATACAGACAGTTTGAAGTGATGTGGTTATGGCTGACTCATGCCTGTGTTTTTCTCTTGAAAGCAAAGATGAAATATGATGTTTATAGCATTCACGGTTCAGTCCTCTGCTTTGTCCTCCGCACAGGCCACAATGTGTACGTGTAGCTGAAAAAGTTATTTGTATTTCTTTGTGGAACATTTGACTGCAGCGATCCAGTTCCTTCCTCTTGTTCTGCACCATTCGTTTTAGTCATTGCATGGGTGTGTATACCTGAGGGTGGAAACACCTCTATGTAGGGATAAATTACCCCGTAGAACCCCCAAGGAGGTGTTTTTGGTATTCGGTTTTGGAATCCAAAAGAGCACATTCAACCCCATCTGGCACCTTAAGTAAACAAGTGAGGGGTTTGTGTACAAAAAGGTTTGCATCCATCTGGGTAAATATGAAGCACTGCACAAGTCAGCATCTACATTATATTCTCGTGAAGGCTATGAAGCCCAAACAGCGTTGCAACGTTTATTCAGAGAAGTAGACGTAAACAAGAGTGAAGGTTTCCAGCTTTTTTTTTTTGGTGACAATCCATCTACAATACAAGTGAAGGACCCTTACTCATCAGGGAGCACATCATCTGAAAATCCTTGATCCCACTTGTTTTACGGCATTGTTTGTGTCGCTTGAGAAAAGTCAGGCACTTGTTGCTGCAATTTTATCAAAAGAACCTTAATTACCTCCTGGGTTTAGAAAATGTTGTAATTAAGTGTAATTAGGTAAATTACAGAAGATTTGCAAAACACCATTTTATGAGAAAAACAACCACGAAAACATCAATGAGGTGAGTGTAATGTTAAAGCTACCCAAAGATGCTCTCTGTAGTGGGTGGCATTAATGCAATCTCCCCTCAAAGGCTCTTAATGGCAGGGTGGCAGAGACAGGATTTTCTTTTTTTTTTTTCTTCAGTAAAATAGTCATTTTTATTGCCAAGTGTCTCACGGTTCACAGTGTGGAGTGAAGCTGAAGTGGACTGACTTTGAGGTTAATTTGTGGCAACGCAGTCTATAAAGGCATTTGTGTTCTACTTATAGTCAATGATCCAAGCATGGAGTTTCCTAAACAGTATTTTGTGACACTCTACACTCTACTTGTGCCTCTCTAGACGACGAGGAGTACATGCAGCAGGCTGCCGTCCCATTGGATGCTGAGACGCACGGCGGGGAGGATGTGGCCATCTATGCAAAAGGCCCAATGGCTCACCTTTTCCACGGAGTGAAGGAGCAGAACTACGTGGCGCATGTCATGGCCTACGCTGCCTGTTTGGAGCCTTACACGAACTGCCCCCCTCACCCTCACAGCCACTCTTCAGCTGGACGTGTGAGCGCACCTTTCAACCTCCTGTGTGGCCTGCTTGGCCTCCTCTGGTTGTTCAGATGACCCCCCGAACAGGCACAAATCAACACAGACCTACACAGTTACATTGCATGCATGCAGCAGAACAGACTATGCACTAAACACTCAGAGTGTACATGCACACATATGCACTGTATGCGCACAGGCTGGCAAATCAGAATGCAGGGATAAACGTTCACAAGTACTGTATTTGTCAACAGAAAAATATTCACATCACTTAATATCTAACCCTGCACACTTGTAACCTATCGTGCATGTAAAATGCAGGCTTAAGCATGCATGTGTTAACTCTTTTCAGGTGCATACTAACACGCAGCCAGGCACTGCAGGCTAGTACACACACAAATATGCAAAGATTAACAGTCATTCATGTGTGAGCAGGTCTTCACGAAACACCCCTTACCATTGTCTCCATTGCAAAGCCTTTCACACTTGCAGTACTTTATTTAAACGGTTTCTTTCACTTGCAGCCTGCTCTTCCTCATCATTTTGTTTAGCTAGAGATTTTCCCATTCTCATTTCTTAAGTTTATTACATCACTGTTCGCTGTAATTTACTAATTACGCATTCATCTGAGGTCTTGCCCAGAATAACTTGAAATACACAAACAGTCTGAGGGCTCACTGTTCAACCTTTGGAGCTTTAGGCAGGACACACAACTGTGCGTGATTGTCGCTGTCCACAAGGAAGAAATAACTCCACGATGGCACCAGAAACCGGAAATAAGAGCCATCACGCCGTGCAAAGCTGCAACACAAACAGACCTTTCAAGAGCTCAGTAAGATGCAGTTCATCTTTCTGAGTCTTTCAGGAAATAGAAAATACTGTATGTAGCATTTTTTATTAACTATGTAACGTGACCTCATCGGTTCCCATTATGTCTTTCATTAGATTGTATGTCACTTGATGCAGTATGTAATCTATTGGAACTGTAAATGAATGTATTTCTTAAGAAAATTGTAAATGTATTTTTATACTGTTTTTTTCTGCAAATGTAAAAGCATAAAAAATCAGGTTTTCTTGGTGAGTTCATTCTTCAGTTCATTTATTTTAGGGTAACACCTTATTTTATGACTTCTATAGATGGATTTACTGACGAGAGCTTTGCACAGTTTGGTCTAGTGTGAGCATTAAAGTCAAGCATCAGGCCTCACAGCTAGTGCAAACACTTGACACAAGGTTTAAGGTAGTCAACACCTCATTCTGATTGGTCAGAGTGCATCTGGGGTGTGTTGGATACACATGGGAGATGTTTTAACGGATTACAAAATGAAAATGCGCTGAAATGTATTGAAAATCAACTAATCATCACATGAACATGCAACAGTACTCTCTAAAAGGTAATACCAAGGCTTACTTGAATCACATCAGTGTACTTCACTTATTTCTCATTGTCCTGTTCATTTAACTGATGGACTGTGACTATGTACTCATTTTTTCCTTAAAGAGTTATAAAACTTGAATGAACTCGACTTGAAACGTTCTGTTTCTGGACTGAACACAGAGCTCAGCAGTGCACATGTGCAGCAGAGAAGTGCAGGAGAAGTTTCTGGAACCTTTACGGGGCGGCTGTGGCTCAGGTGGTGGAGCGGGTCGGTCAATGATCGGAAGGTCGGTGGTTCGATTCTGCCCTGTAACCTGGTGTGAATGCGTATGAATGGATTGTTGAGGTGGTGGTCGGAGGAGCCGTAAGTGCAGAATGGCAGCCATGCCTCTGTTGTAGCTACCACCACCAGGATGAATGTGTGTGAATGAATAACTGACAGTGCAAAGCGACTTTGAGTGTCTAGAAAAGCGCTATACAAATCGGATAAATTGTTATTATTACTATTATTTAAGTTTCTAACACTTGGAAAGATCAAATTCATGATACTATTTTGCTATTTTTAAGTTCACAAAATTGAGTAAATACAGAAATTTTAAGTAAACTTTACAAGTAGATATGAAGTAAACTGAATCTAAGACTAATGGTTATATTTACTTACCTTTTCTGAGTGCAACCGGTTTCCTAGATTTGTTTAAGATCAACTTTTCATATTTTACAGTGTACAAAGGAATCAAGTAATGATTGGTACCTTTAAAACAAAAAAGTAAAAATAGAGGAAGTAACGTCAATTTATCACTTCATTTAATTCACAGTCGACTCAAGGATCAACCATGTGACGCGTTTGTCTGCAGAATATAACAAACCTTCAAGAATATATTTCCAGTTTTAACAAATGATCGTTCTGTTGGGTCCCCGTGCAATAGAATCATAAAGTGCAGAAGACATGTCAGGTTCATTTTCATATTTTTTTTTAAATCTTTTGCTGTAATGCATCCAAATGCTGATTAGAAATGCTGTGACCTCTGAACCACAAGGCCGGTCAGCATTAGAGTGCTGTGGTTTTAAAACTCACTGCTAAAAACAACAACATCTTGGCCTGCTTAAATATGAGCTACAGAGCTCTTTAGCACTGCAACACAATACTGAACTCCTCACCACCGCTCAGTGATGATTTATGGTGGCTCTAGGACAACAGTGACTAAAGTTCCTGATGGTAAACATAAGCAGAAAGTGCGTTTCATTCACTACGCCAGCTAGTCTGGACCTAATAAATAGACAAATAAAAAGTAGATAATGGATTTATTGGATCGCATTTAAGATCAATAATTAAGCTTCAGTCCAGTTATTTTCCTTTTCTTCTTCTGTCAAACTCACACTTTAAAAAACAAAGAATATATCATTTCCTTACACGTGTATCGAGAACAAAACATTCCGAAACTCACATGTGGCTGAGATTTAAAGAGGAAAATAAATTAGTTTGAAAACTTGTTTGAACAATAAAGTTGTTGACAGTGTGTTGTGACTGCGATGCACAAAGCGTCTTCATCTGGGTGCTGAGGCGTGAGTGGAGATGAGCTGCTACACCAGATATGAATCTCACAGCAGCAATTCTAGGAAATCTTTTTTAAATGCAACTCCGCCATCCTCGCTTTAACGCTATCATGTGAAACACTATATAACACAGAGAGGTCCATAAAGTCCTGTCATATGCCGACTTATTAATCACACCTCCATATTTGATGATTATAAACAGCATTTAGAGTTTCTTGTATGTTTTTAAAATGCCAATATGGAGTTTACTTCCTCTTTTCCTGTGTGTGTGTGTGTGTGTGTGTGTGTGTGTGTGTGTGTGCACGTGTGTTTTTGGTGTTGTATGTTACCTCGTGCTTACGCTGTCAGGCTCCTCCGTGTGCCCTTTGCTCCTTAGCTGCAGGTATAAAGGGACTTCGTGTGCGACAATCGCTCCTGTGCTTTTTTAAAAGTACTGGTATACAACGCTATGGCCGGCAAACATAACTTGGTTTTTACTGGGTTACTGATTTTCATTTCAGTGCAGTGGACTTTGTGTGCTCAAGGTAAGAACCTGTTATGTGTCGCTGTTGTTCGGTAGCTGCAGAAAACCAAGAATATTGCTGTCAGATGACAACTGGAGTTCAAGGACAATGCAGAGACAGTGACGGACACTTTATGATTCTTGTTTTATGTAGTAAGAACAAGATAGACGTTCTTCATCCCACAGCAACATCGTTTTTTTAATCTTGTAATTTTATTAAGCAGAAAATGAAACAAACTCTTTAAGTAAAATGCTCTAAAATATTCACAAGTTTATGTTATAAACCAATGTGTTTGGGTGTTGGTTCAGCAGCCCCTAAAGTTGTAATTACTGTCCGGATGATATCTGGCAATATTTCTTATAGATGGTGTCAGATAAGTTTGACATGCGTTGGTGATGAGGTAACACTGCTTCACTTGCTCCTGTCAGCTATGTAAGCAAGATTATGCAGCTTGAGATGGTCTCATAACGTTTCAGTCATGTTTAACAAAACAGTTGAATAAAGGTTTGTGGAATATACTGAGAGACTCTGTCAAATGTTAGTTATCCATGAGAAAACTATCAATAAATGTAGTTTGTTACGTTTATGTTTCTATTTGCAGTGTTTAAAAAAAGGTTAGAAGTACGACATTTCTTATGGACGATGCATTTTCTGTACAGCATGCAAATCGTTTATTGCTCACGATCTTAAAATCTCCCCCTCATTTGTTCTTACTTTATTGCAGCATGTTTTGTATCTGCATTCCAGTATCAATGAAGAAACTTGATTCACTTTTATTTTAGTTTTGCTTTAAATATCAGGGATTCCAGAATGTACGATTTCGGTCTTTATTCTTTCAAAATAAAAGCATCACCTGGATGGTTCAGGTATATAGGCTGCTTCATAATACTGACTTTTGTCTTGCCTACAGAGGAAGAGCTCCATGCCGACTTCTGGAACATCAAAGGGAAGCAGGCCCTCAACGCTGCCCTGAATCTCCAACCCAATATGCACAAAGCCAAGAACATTATCCTCTTCCTGGGGGACGGTCAGTCTGAAAAAAAAAGATCTTTTCCAGTCCTTAAAACTGCTTCTTCAAATTGTCAAGTATTTCCCCCTTCTACCCCAGACCATTTATTCAGGTGAAAAGAGGCCAGTGGAGCTTGAAAGTGTGAGTTCCACCATCACTGTGGTCACTGGGAAAGAATGAGGCCGTACTCTAAACCAAATCCACAATTTGACCTTGAAAATAATGGGTTTATGAGCAAAGGGAGACAAACGTTGACATGTGATCACCTTCTTGGAATCCAAGCATAACAAAAAGAACTGAGGCTCAACCACAGTCTGCGCTGCATGCGTAACCATTTCCCGTCGTAGCCTTAACTGATCCGAACACCACAAAAATCCATCATCAGTGTCTGAAGTTTCAGAAATTCTTTAGAACTTCGACTAATCTTCACAATTTTAACCCAAATCTTTGAATCGGTACACAGTATAGTTTTATTAAAAGTAAGAAACAGGGCTTCCGCTGTAGTTATCGCAAGAGACAAGAAATCTCATGGCCTATCCTGAGTAAAGGAGCCGAAAAAGATAAACCAAGACTTTCTGATATCGTGTATCTGAACCTCAGCCTTGTCTACAGACGTCTCACACAAACGATGTAGTTGTTCCCGTTTGCTTCACGGAATAACATGACCCAAGCTCCCAGTGTGGTAATTCCACAATTACAAAACGTATTGATTCATTCTGATTTATGGTTACAGCAGCCGCCACTCCTGCCTGCATACATGCTGACCGAAGCACAAGCAGCATTTTTATCAGTGTTTGGGATTGATCAGTAACTTTTAATAATCTCATAAGTGACATGTTAAGTTGCAAAGTTATTACTGTTAATGACTCCGTGGAAATACACGAGAAAGGAGGAATTACATATTTTACCTTTAACATAAGCAGTTTCCCCTGATTCAGTGTTAAAGCGTCTACTGTATTTGTGGTGAAACACAGTGGTTCATACTTGATCTGTCACATGTTTGTGGATATTTTCAAAAGCATATGAAGAGTTCATTTGCAAAAACAGATAACTCCATCTATACAAACCTTCAGAAAACCCACTGTTCCATCGTCTGCCTCAATCAAACTTAAGTTATCTCTGTTTTCATCATTTCTACTGAGTCAAATCCACCCAACTTCTGTTTGATTGATATTATCTCAGGCTAACAACAAAAAAATAAGTTTTCTGAAGATCTACAAAAGTGGAGTTATCTGTTTTTGCAAATTAACTCTTCAAATACTCAGATTTGGGGAGACAACTATGTGTCAGAAACTACATGTAACATTTATTTCAAGTCATTGTGGTCATCAGATTGACCATCAGATTATAGTGAAGAGCTCATTTGCAAAAACAGATAACTTCATTTTTGTAGATCTTCAGAAAACTTATTTTTTTGTTGTTTGCTTGAGATAATATCAATCAAACTGAAGTTGAGTGGATCTGACTCAGGAGAAATGACTTAAGTTTGATTGATATAGTCTCAGGTAGACGATGGAAAAGTGGGTTTTCTGAAGGTCTGTGTAGACGGAGTTATTTGTTTTTGCAAATGAGCTGTTCACTACATGAAATATATTGAAGTCTGACGGAGGAAAAATCTGGATTTGCTTTGCATGTTCTCCATCTGTGACTCTTGATCGCTAGGAAGTCTTTGACTGCCCTTCAGACTCTCACATCAGCTGAGCCTCATGAGGTTCTCTTCAGAACAATGGCAGCTCTGTGTTTCCCTGATATTATCTTCTCAGGTGTGTTTCCACCTGTTTTACAGGTATGGGGGTACCGACGGTGACTGCTGCCCGGATCCTCAAGGGCCAGCTGGCAGGACATACTGGAGAAGAGACCAGTCTGTGTATGGATACCTTCCCCCACTTGGCACTCTCTAAGGTCAGAACACTCTGATTAACACATTCAGACTGATTAGCAGGAAGGTGTTGTTAACTGTGAAAAGATTACACGCGTGCATTTATGGTGCTTGATGACTCCCTGCATGGCTTTATTATGCAGATTGACTTTCTAATCCTGCCAACTGGGCCCCGGTGTCACTATCCCAAATGTGAACATGGGTTTATTTTGTAGGAGATTGCTTGGGGTAAAACTGGCACAAACGGACATTTAGTAATTTAAAAGTCGAAGAAAATACTTGCATGCTTTGCTCAATGGAATCTGAGGGATGGCTGTTCAGATTGTTAAAAAAAATTGTTTTTTATAAGGAGGCTGTTTATGAGGTTGCATTTGTTGTCATAATTATCAGATTGCGACCAAAACTAGTCTGCTATCAGTTTATCTTAGATCTGACTTTTGTACTGGGCTTGTACCACAGGTTACGCCAGTTTCTTTAGAATTCATGAAATGATTTCTGAAATGAACTTGATGTTGTAATGTGTGATAATGTTGTATTCGTCCATATTTAGTGGGGAATGTTAAGGTTACCCCAAATAAATAGGTCAAATAATCTGTTTGGACCCTCAAATTAACTTTATTTCATGTTAGGGCTTCAAGGCAACAAGTTCATACCTCCTGCAAAAAGTACAACACAGAATCTGAACCTGCTTTCAGGTCCAATTCAATGGCAACCACATCTAACATACTTATCTTGTGCGTCTCGAGACACTCAAGGTTACAGTGTTTGTGAGATTTAAGGGTTACATGTTGTTGAAGAATGTTATTATACCTGACGGTGGCTCTGAGTCACAATAGATAAGAACGCCTGCTCAATACTTGAGATAACAAATATTGATGTGCGGGTGTGTGATTGTATTTGGTTGTTACAGACATACAACGTGGACCAGCAGATGCCAGACAGCGCTGGCACAGCAACAGCGTACTTATGTGGTGTAAAAGCCAACTACGGCACCCTGGGCGTCACCGCTTCCACCCCAAGGTCCAACTGTAGGGCCACCTTTGGCAATGAAGTCACATCTATTCTGCACCGGGCCAAGCAAGCAGGTAGGCCCACATCAACGAAGCTCTGAACACTTATCTCAAACCCTTCTGGTGACTTGGTGGTTAACACCGTCGCCTCACAGCTAGAGCACACCGGGATCTTTCTGGGTGGAGTTTGCATGTTCTCCCCGTGCAGTGTAGGTTCTCTCCGGGTTCTCCAGCTTCCTCCAACAGTCCAAAAACATGTTGAGGTTAATTGGTGATTCTAAATTGTCCATAGGTGTGAATGTGAGTGTGCTTGGTTGTCTGTCTCTAAGTGTAGCCCTGTGATAGACTGGTGACCTGTCCAGGGTGTCCCCTGCCTTCACCCTGAGTCAGCTGGGATAGACTCCAGCCCCCCTGAGGATTAAGCGATGTATAGATAATGGATGGATGGATGGTTTAGGACTAAATCTGTCACTATAAATGTATGTTCCCAGTTTATGTTTTCGTGGTGCTAAACCAAAGTTATATAAGTCTGACGTCGAGTACCCAAAGGTAAAAAGGCAGCACACAAACAGCTTCAGGGCAAAGCTGACTCATCTCAGTTTCACCAATTTGTTCCGACCACGTCAAAAAAAAAATAAAAGTTTAAAATCTGCTTGTGACTTAGTTGACAAAGGAGAAATTCCTCAGAACTGGAATCAATCAAATGCAAAACAGATGTGATGAAATTAAGATTCTACTTAATTTGCCGTCCATGGTAGACAAAGGAGACACATCTTAAGCCTAAAATAATTGAATTACAACAGACATACTTGGATTTATCTAAAAGAACTTTTTCGATGTGGAAGATGCACTCATTGTAACAAACCTACTAATGCCAAGTTTTTTTTTCACACTTCTAAGAAGTTTTCCCACCAAATGATTCACAAATTGTAACACAACATCAGTGATTTATGTCCCCAAATCCTCTATGACTAAAGAAACAAAGACAGCACACAAACAATGACTCTATAAAGCAGCACAGAGAACATGGAATATACCGTAGCCAAGTATTACTGTGAAACCAAAGTTGGCTCTATTCTGCATTTCACTGGACTTGAACGAGTAATTTCTCATGCCAGAGGGAGCAGTCTATCACAATTACAGTCGCACAGAGAGATGTACTTTATCTCAACAATAAATACAATGACACCTGCTGGACTAAGCGACGACAGTTTTATTACGCTTCCTCTGAATATGTTCAAAATACAGAACTTATGTAGGATGTTTAGCCCAGAAACTGTGACTTCAGGCAGAATTGTACCATTTTTTCTGTTTTTTGTCACTGTCATCAAAAAAGATTCACCATGAGACCATAGGGAGTCGATTACTAAACCAAACACCTGCCAAATAAATGACATGACCGCCGCTTTTTTCATGCTTTGATGAAGGAAACAAGACTGAAAAGTTTGGTTTTTTTTCATTTTTATTTTACTGAATTTTACAGTGGTTCAGGGGTTGTCACCTTACAGCTAGAAGATGCCCGGTTTGCGTCCTGGTTGGGACACCTCTTTCTGAGTGGAGTTTGCAGGTTCTCCCTGTGTAGTGTGGGTTCTCACCAGGTTCTCCTGCTTTTTCCCACATTTCAAAAACATGCAGAGGTTAACTGATGATTGTAAATTGTCTCTAGGTGTGAATAGGAGTGTGTTTGTTTGTCTCTCTGTGTAGCCCTGTGATAGACTGATGACCTTCGCCCTGAGTCGGCTGGGATAGGCTCCAGTCCTCCCATGACCCTTGTGAGGATTAAGCGTTGTATAGATAATGGATGGATGGATGGATGGATAGATGGATGGAGATTAGTCAACCTTTTTCTACAGCCCTGTGTGTGCTACCTTTTCACCTTCGGCTATACATCTTCATAACTATACAGTTCCTTTAGTGCTTCACATCAAGTGTATATATCAATGCAAATGTGTCCCGCATACTCAACCAAAGTCTTGTTGCCTTTCGTGAACCTCTATGAACGACAAGAGCATTGTGTGTTTCAGGGAAGTCAGTCGGAATTGTGACTACAACCCGAGTGCAGCACGCCTCCCCCGCTGCAAACTACGCTCACTCTGCCGACCGAGGCTGGTACGCTGACTCCGACCTCACCCCTGAGGCTGTCCAGAACGGCTGCCGTGACATTGCTTACCAGCTGGTTCACAACACACAGATAGACGTAAGGCTTGATATGAACGTATTTCTGTAACAAAACAATCTGAGCACTCATACGATGAAACAGTGAACAGCAAGTCATTAAACATGATAAAGCCTCTCAGATAAGATGTGAAATGTCTTTTTCTATAACCTGGAAGACAGAGAATCTCTAAAGATGCACTGTTAAATTAATCTAATTCTGAGCATAGTCTGATAATAAACCCCTTGTACTGTAGATTTTTTTTGAGGCAAGACTGCTTTAAACAGTGTAACTCAAAGGAACAACATAAGGGAATAGTAGGGAAATCAAAATTTTAAATGTATAAGAACATATAAAATCTTCTCATATCCCTCACTGCAGGTCATTCTTGGCGGAGGTCGTCGGTATATGTTTCCCAAAACCATGCAAGATCCAGAGCATCCAAAGGAGATGGGATCCCGAGATGATGGACAAAACCTTGTTTTGGAGTGGATGAAGAACAAAACGGTAAACAGCATCTTATACAAGTGTACTCATCAGTTTGGATGTGTATATAAATGTTATCGTCTCTCTAGCTTTGTGTTTCTATACATGCATTCTTTCTAGCTTGGCCAACTTGTTTGTTCTTAACCTACAGAATGTTAAATATGTTTGGAGAAAGAGTGAATTTGATGCTGTCAATCCTGCGACTACAGACTTCCTTATGGGTAAGAAGAACTGTTCATTCACCGCTTACAATGATCTCATATAGGAGTGCATATTTGGACATGAACAAGATTTTGGTATTTTGGCTCCTGTATAGATATACGATGGTAAATGGTAAATGGTCTGCACTTATATAGCGCTTTTCTACCTTTGCGGCACTCAAAGCGCTTTACAATTCACCCATTCACACACACATTCATACACCAATGGCGACAGAGCTGCCATGCAAGGCGCTAATCTGCCATTGGGAGCCATTTGGAGTTCAGCGTCTTGCCCAAGGACACTTCGGCATGTGGGGAGATCGAACCGCCAACCTTGCCATCAGTGGACAACCCGCTCTACCACCTGAGCCACAGCCGTGTACTGTATACTTATACACAGCTTTTTGGGTAGAGAAGTAAAACTTGATAAAGGTTCTGCGACAATCACTTGTCAGTAAAACTTCATGTTTTGCTTAAAGACCACCAGAAATGCTAACTGGGCCTCACTTAGAAGGATAGCATGCTTTGATTATGTTACGGTGCAGGTTAAAGCAATAAGATAAGAACTTTTTTTTTTTTTCCACAGAAAACTTCACACATTTTTTTTTTCAAATTGGCATTTCTTAGATGTGAAAAGTGAGTGCTGTAAATCCTCTCTGTATTTAGGTCTGTTTGAGCCAAAAGATTGCCGCTACGAGTTGGACCGCGACCCGTCTATGGATCCCTCCCTTGCGGAGATGACAGAAAAAGCAATTAAGATTCTCAGCAAGAACTCTAAGGGATTTTTCCTCTTTGTGGAAGATAAGTACAAACTCTTTCACAGGCAACAAACAGTCCATTAAATGTCAAATCCAAGTTAAATGTTTGATCTGAACCTCTGTGTAATCAATCAGGATACAATATAAACACTGATTCCTTGTCATGCTGACATTGTAAATTAATTGTAAAGATGTTAAAAAATTATCTATATTCAGCTGCACATATTACAGATTCAGATTCCTTTGGTGTCAAATAGTTAATCAGACAGTGGATATCTGATTATTGGAAACTTGCCACCTAACTATGGCGGGAATATTGGAGTTGCATGATCATGTTTTTGCTCACCACACAGTAAGATTTCAACACATGCAACGACTCTTACGTATAATATGTAATACCTTAAAAAAGAGCACACTGTAGGCGAGTATCTGTAAAATTACAAATCCATTTCATACAGTTTCATTTGTTTGAAACCTAAGCTCATGAGAAATGGAGCAAATGGATGTGTAGAACTTGAATTGACTGTTTAAACTATAATGAAATCTCCATTGTAATAGGACTGCAACAAAAGCCATGATAATCTTTATTATTAGGAATCTATTCTTTCATTTAAAAAAAAGGGAAACAATGGCATGCTTACCTGTATTTCTGAGGATAAATTTTAACTCTTGTTGCATCGAGGTTGTATTTTGAGGCCCATTCTTATTTTTACATCAGATTACACATTCAAAAACAATACAGTTAATGTATGGGGATATAATTTTGAACCAGTAACGGTTTTGTTACATTGCACAATGGTGTTTTTATTTTAAATTGTAAATGAGACTTTTTTAGGAGCTATAGTAGAGATGCTTATTTGTCAGCAACTTTCTTTTGGACTTTAAGGGGGAGAATCGACCACGCTCACCACGGAGCCATGGCCAAAAGGGCTATGTATGAAACTATAGAGTTTGATCGGGCAATTGAACGAGCAGCCGGACTCACCAGCGAGCTGGACACTCTGACTGTAGTCACTGCTGACCATTCCCACGTGTTTGCTTTTGGAGGATATTCTGTCAGAGGAAACTCTCCTACAGGTAAAATACATTGCAGGAAAAGTCCAAGAACTGAACTGATCTGAGAGATATTTTTGAGTGAATATCATCAGATGCTCTAAACTTGAACACACTGGTACCAATTTGTCCTGTGATTTACAGGGGTGTCACGTTCACTGGCTACTGACAATAAGCACTTCACCACTGCTCTGTATGGGAATGGACCAGGATACCAGATTGAGAATGGAACCCGCCCAGATATGAATGAATCAGTTTCATGTAAGTGTACATTGATACCCTTTCTGAGGGAGACAACGTAATATAATAGCTCCATCTTGTGGTGTAACAGGATACCTTCAGTGCAGACACAAAGACGTACTAAATGTAGCTGTTCACTGTCACAGAAAGTTTAATGAAGAAAAAAAAAAAGCTCCCACATTGATTTTGACATTTTAAAGGACAGCAATAATAACAATGATTTTCTGATAATGTCTATGCAGAAACATGATCTGTTCCTTTGACTTACCCTAAAGACTGTCTAACTTACATCTGACCACTAATGGCATACTGCAATAATACAACAATTGTAATACAATATCTCTGCAATAAATACAGCATTAGCCTACAAAGCTTACAATATTTAGTTGTTGCTGTCTGACTGATCTTGCTATTTTATCAACTCCTCTGTGTGCTAACTGTAGGTTTGCAGTTTGTCTGTGTATGTGCCAGAAAACTTACTAACGTAATGATCCTCTGTCATATTTTCCATCAGCGGATGATGACTACCGTCAGCAGGCTGCTGTCCCTCTTGATTCAGAGACCCACGGCATAGACGACGTAGCCATCTTTGCCAAAGGTCCCATGTCACACCTTTTCCACGGGGTCCAGGAGCAGAGCTACATTGCACATGTCATGGCTTATGCTGGTTGTATAGATCCCTACCAGAATTGTTTGCTCACCGACCACGCTGGAGCGATGCACCCCAGCCTGCTGCTCCTTCTGCTGGGCCTCCTTCTCTTCTCCTTCTGTTCTGTCTGAGCCGAATGACCACGCTATCTAAATAAATTATCCTTTACACTGTGATATGTGAATGTAAGAGTTGTACAAATCTGACATCAGCTGTTTTTAATAATTTGTGCTTGTTCAGGTAACCTTGTTGTGAAAAAAAACATTACTGTTATTATTGCATAGAGCCATGACTCTAACGTTGTATTTAGCCCGTGTATATATATAAAAATTTGTGGCTGTAATTATTTTTGGAAATGTTTGAATAAAATGGTGATTTCCTACTGGTATTATTCAAATATTACTTATATTTGCTTTCTATAAGAAGACATTTGACCCAAAGCATGTTACATACAAGTTGTAAAAGTTGTAACCTTCCATAACTTTGAAGTCCCCTACATTTCCACTTTATTGTCATCAGTTCTTCCTAGAGATGCTGGCACCATTTTGTCCTAAATCTCAGCACTTGCACATCCTTGTTAAGATTTTGAGGGCCCTCTTTTTCCTCGCACAATGTAATGTAGTGCATCTTGTACAACAGTTACACTATCAGTGGGTTTTCTGCTTTTCTGGTTTTTGCTATCACATTAACAATTTGATGTTTAAGTGGCTGGTAAGTATGTTGCTCCTGAAGCACAATTTTATACCAAAGACGATTAAAATACCAGACCCATAATTTGGTGTGGGACAATCAGTTTTCTCCAGACTAGTTTTACTTCATTCAGTCTTCTGGCACAAAGAGACAACAAACAGAAACTGTCTCGGGCAAGTGTCGGTGATAAAACGTGCTCCCCCGGGCCAATAAACGTCTCACCTGATTGGTGATACGCTGTCCAATCAGAGACGCCAGTGGGCGGAACTTCCGCCTTCTTTCTCCTTGGAGGGAAGTTTAACAAAACACTACGCAGCTTCATCGAAAAGTAAATTTCCGTGGATAAACAATTAATTCGCTATTTTTTTTAGTTCGTTTAATAGCGCACCTCCATATATTCCGGACTCAGAACGAAGTATTATAAGAATTACTTGTTTGCTAACTGTATAGAAAAACGTATTTTAGTATGCGCGAGCAATGTTTAGGTTTTTGCAGCTTCTCAGTTGCTGTTAGCTTCGTCAGCTAACGTTAGCCTTAAAGTTATCTGTACACGGCTAGGCCATGAGACAATTCTTGGGCCGCATGATTATGATGTAGACAACTTATAAACAAGTGAGCATGGCCATGGACCGAAAGACGAGGAGGCTGGAGAGTCAGCTGTGTAAAGCGGTGAACGATGGAGACCCCAGGTGATGTTTCGCTCTTTGTCGTTGTTTTGCTCAGTCTTCTTGATGTTCAGACTTCTCTCACAAACATTTTCATAGTTGTCTTCCTACGTAGTCATACTTGACGTGAACTGATCCCACGTTGTTTTAAAATAACTTGAGCCGTTTGGTTTATCTAAAGTCCTCAAAAGCCACAGAGCTTAAATCCAACTTTCTGATCATGTTGAAGCTAAAATTAACACTTTGCTATGAATATATATAAATACCTAAGGATCTACCTGTAATCGCAGTTGCCCTTTATTTATTTTTATAAAAGATATATAAATATTATAGGTTACATATAATAAACGTACAATACTCCCATCATCTCTTCTATGATACTGTTTGGTTTTGTTTTAAAGCTCCAGGTGATCACAGGAAAAGTCAACAATCAAATCATTTTAAACCACTGTTCAAGTATAATTAAAATGTCAAGCATTCTCTGGATAGATTGTATTGTTTATTTTACAGATTGTAAGCTCCTTTCAGGTAAAATATTGATTGAGATTTTGGGCTACGTGCACAGATCACAGGCTTGTGGTCTGCTCAGTTTACACAGAAGTTCTTTGCCATTTGTGAATGTCATCTACAGACTATAAAAATCAGTCTGAAACGCTTGGTTATAAAAGCTATAGTATAAATGTTAACCTGGTGAAGCCTGTAATGTTTCATGGTGCAGTATAGTCCATCCATCCATTATCTATACACCGCTTAATCCTCACTAGGGTCGCAGGGGTCTATCCCAGCCAACTCAGGGTGAAGGCAGGGGACACCCTGGACAGGTCGCCAGTCTGTCACAGGGCTACACTTAGAGACAGACAACCAAGCACACTCACATTCACACCTACAGTCAATTAAGAATCACCAGTTAACCTCAACATGTTTTAAGACATGGGGGAGGAAGCTGGAGAACCAGAGAGAATCCACACTGCACGGGGAGAACATGCAAACTCCACACAGAAAGATCCCAGGTGTCCTAACTGGGAAACAAACGGCAACGGTGCGAACCACCGAGCCACCTTGCAGCCCGGTGCAGTATAGTGCAGTGTATAATTATAATGTATAATCATTTTCCACTTCAGTCTTTCAGGCATGACAAATGCAGCAGCAAATCACAATACAATGTATACGATATACAAGGGATGTACAGCTTGAATAGCAATGAGTCAGATGCCTGATCTCAGAGAATACTAAATTGTTGTGTGCACATAGAATTATCATATAAATAGTTGTACCATTGGAACCTCACTGTTACATTTTGTCAACATCCTTCTTTTATTTCGAGTTCAGCAATGCTGTTTGTTATGACACAGTTTATGTCAGAATGTAACTGATGTCGCTTCCTTTACAGATCTGTGCAGCTGCTTCTTTCTGAAGGTGCAAAGCCTGACGTGGTGGGTAGTAAAGGGGTGGCTGCATTACATTTGGCGGTTGGCAAAGAAACTGAGAAGAACACACGCTGCTTGAAAATGTTGCTGCAACATGGAGCAGACCCCAATATCAGGTACAGTAATAAACACAGTGAAATGAGATGGAACAATGTTGGCTTGAGAAATTCAAATGATGGATATAATTTATGTGAAAATGTAATCAGTTTTCTTGTTCAACTATATCACTAGGGGTGCTGTAAGAATCTTGCATTTTGGGTAATATAAACCCTGCAGTGATTAATACTGATAGTTACGTGTTTGTCTTGTATTTCTCCCAGGTCATCAGAGGGCCTGACTCCTCTTCATGTTGCTGCACTGTGGGGATGTTATCAAAATCTCAAGCTGCTTTTAATAAATGGAGGGGATCCAAACATTAAGGATAATGTAAGAACTGCTTTTAACTTTATTAATCTTTTTCTCTTTTGCACGGATCAACTTTGACGCACCTGACCAGGACATTGGGAATCAGTTAAATGTACTGATATGTGCACGTAAACATTTAGCATAATCTGTCGTTAATGGTGATTATTAGGTTGTCTCAGGGCCTCTGTTTTACAGCGGAATCAATGTAGAGACTTAGGAAATGTTTGAGGTTTAACAAGATATCTAGTAAAGTTAGTTTCATTTTGCTTTACTCCTGTTTTGTTTTTTTTTGTTTTTTTTTATATATACAGGATGGAAACACACCAGGGCAGCTTGCAGAGCAACAAGAAAATCAAAAATGTGCTCATCTTCTTCGCGAGTACCAGGGCAGCTCAGTGGACACAGAGGAGGACGAGGATTTGCCTCAGTTCCAATACTGTAAGATGATATTTTAGAAAGCTCTGTCTTAAAGGGGATTACTTAAAAAATATTCAGTCTTTAAAAAGTTAAGTTTGATTGTCGTATCTGTGTAATTTCCATTATCTCTATTGCTATTATAGTAATATATGCCCAGTCAAATGCTTGATATTGTACTTGTCCACCTCTAGATTTCAACATCATAGTAATTCATTAATCCCACTGATCACAAACCAATTAAGTATTATTTTTGAAATCCTTAATCTGTTCATAACCACACATATTAAACCGAAAGCATTGTGTGTTGAACAATGTAGGCAACCAAAGCTATAATAAAACTTTGTCAGTGCCTGCCATCAGTACCAGATTTACTACAACTGCGAGCAACAGTGACTATTTTCCCTGTCAAATAAAAGAGAAGCACAAGGCGACTCATCTGTCAGTGTATAACGACTAGATCAGAAGGGTTGCAGCTATATTTTTTCCAGAATTTGGTTATCAGTGACAGTTTCTCACCTTTGTAGCAACTGTGGTAATTTATAGTCCTTTTTTTTTCTCTCCACAGCTTTATATTCAGACCAGACAGACATGTCCAGCTATCCTGAATCAGACTACAGCTTCAGTTCCCACTCGTCGATGATAAGTGATTTTGGTGAAGCCCCATTGAGCAGCACAAGGCGCTCATCATTTTTCAACCTGTCTAACATTAATGGGAGACCAGGTTGCAGAGGAATATCATATAACAGACTTTCTGGTTCCATATTATCAAGCACTCGGATGTCTGCAGTAGGACCTGCAGTTGGAATGTCGATTCTTAAAGAGGATGATTTATGTACCAACGATGGCTTGTTTACGTCAAAAGCAAATGGACTTGCTGCAACAACTGATGGCGTAATCTCTCCTTCCAGAAGAGAAACTCTTCCAGCATTTGCCTCCAGGCGAGCAGTTCGGAAGAGTGTGAGCTTCAGAGACGTAGATGAATATTTCCCAGTTTTCAGTCCTGAATCTCCTGAACAGCGTCCTGCTGCTGATGGCGGCCAGTGCAGCAACACCTTACCTTTTGACATGTCTGAATACTCAGAATTCCTGGATTCAGACCGCATGGCCACGGTTTTACAAAAGCAGGGCATTGATGTCACATCACCGGATCACGTTTATGTCTTCTGCAGGGAAAGCAGTGAGAGCACAGACGAGGACTTGGAGAAAACAGTCATAAGTCACTGTGCTTTAGAGGAGAGTGATGATGAACAGGAGGGAGAAAATGTAGAAGAGGCTCAAGTGAATACACCTCAACGGCGAGTGCATTCTCGTGTTGGCAGCAGTAGCAGTGGGACAAGTAGCAGTCATTATAGTAGCTGTGAAAGCGACCATTACACTAGTGCTCTGGATGCTTCCACACACCCCAGACATCTTTTACCCCCTGTGGGAGAAGAAGTTTCTGCCGGGACTGAATCTGATAAAAGGGCTCAGATTTCTACAGGTGCTGATTCTCATTTCACTGGGCAAGAAGTGAATCTTTCACCTGTTCAAGCAGAACCCAAGCTGGACTCAAAACATGGACTAACAGAGCCGTTAGCGGGTATGCTTGATAAACTGACCTTGTCTGAAGTAGAGCACCCACAAAATGATGTATTAGAAGCTTTTAGTGGTGCTGTGGACATTTCAGGTAAAGGAGGTGTGGACACCGCAGTGACAGACGCCAGATCTGACACAACTGAAGCATTAGAACAAAACTTTTCATTCACCCCGAGTCCGTTTGTGACAGGCAGGACACAGTCGAGGTTGAGTCGCTGCTCAATGAGAACAAGCAGAACCCCTGAAAGCCTCTTCATCACATCTTCATTGTTTGAAGAGACCCTGCCCACACCGGTTCGATCCCGCCGCCAAACACCCAGGTCTCAGAGCAGTGAAGACTTTTACAACTCACCACATGCACCTCACGGTACTCCATCGTGTTTAGGGAGTAGCACAGGAGGAGACTCCCAGCCTGCTGATTGCCAGGATACACAGTCCAGCACTCTTAGAGCCAGCTCAAGTGTTAGCAATAGCCAGGCTGATACACTCATCCTCCCTAAGAGCGTAACGGACTCTACTGTTGAATCAGAGACTCTGTGTGACACAATTTTAATAGAGAAAAACCAGGATGAGACAGTTGATGCTTATGAGAGAAACCTTGCAGAGATAATTCGTGCTATGCGAGGACAGGACAGGGATCTTGCTGAAGGTGGTGAATTTCTGACTGATGATCTGACAAGTGCAGATGAGACAAATAAAAATGTGAATGATGCCCCTGATAAGATAGACAGCCTAAAAAATGATGATGCCTGGGTCACTGAGGACTACAGCTCTCAGCCAGACTGTGCGTCATCTTCATCCAGCTCCAGCTATTTTTCCCCGCGGAGGTCCAGGGAAGACTCTGACCCTCCCGGCACCCCCGGCACCGGCTGCACCCCGAGGTACAGCATGAGCAGGCTGTCAAGCTGCCGCAGGCCACAGCTGGCTAACCTGTCTTACACCCCGGGAGGGCGTCCACTCATTCAGGACCTGGACGAACCGGTGGAGTATCTCTACACCGACACAGAGCGGGGCCACAAACTGATTGAGACCCATGTCCCACCTACAACAGACACCTCACTCAGCTCCAGCATGAGCACTACAAGCAGTGAGGAGACCGTCCTCTATGACTGGCGTTCCTTGCAGACTGACATGAAGGGAGCCAAAGGAAAAGAGAACCAGAAACCCCAGATTGTGGTAGAGAAAGAGGAAAGTGATGACTGCGAGGACAGATTGTTGCCAGACACCAGTGGGATGACTGACAGGGAGCTGAGACTGAGGCTAGTGGAGCTGGGAGAGAGCCCAGGTCCGATCAGCAGCCGCACCAGGCCCACCTACATGCGAAGGCTGCGCCGCCTGTTACTGGAATCAAACTCCAAATCACAGCATCTTCAGAAGCAGATAGGCGAGCCACAAGCAGGTATTGCTCTTCATTTGATATTCTTGATTACTCAGCTAACTCCAGCTGTGATTTGGTAATGATATTAATTTTTGAACTTGTTGTTTTGGTTGTAAGCAGTTTTAGGGTAAGGTGGTGTGAAGATAAACGGAACATAAAAGTGTGTTTTATAATAAATTCATAAATCTGTTGCTATTTAAATGGGTGTTTGTGAAGTTGTGGCCTTTCGTTTTCGTTGAGTGTGAAATCACTCCTATAGGGAAGCATGGAAATGGAAAATTAAACTCATTAGTTGGGATTGAAGCTCACCACCATTTGGGCGACTGAGTCACTTTGTGGGTGGATTAGATTAGAACCACCGAACAAATGAGGCATGTTGATACACTTATTGTCATTTAGCTTATCTTCACTGTCCCTGACACAGCATGTCATTTTCTGTTCTATTTCATTTCTCTAGATTTAAATTATAGTCCAGAGTTGTGCCGGGTCCTGCAGATTTTCGAGCTGCCTGCCTGCCAGGCCGACGAGCAGGCTTTGTGCCAGCAGTTTGACCAACCGGATCAAAACAGGAAGTGGAGGGAAGGCATCATCAAATCCAGCTTCAACTACCTGCTGCTGGACCCAAGGTCTTTTTTCTTTTTTTTTCTTTTGCTTTGCTTTCTTCTGAACAGTGTTGTTGTTACTGACTGTTCCAAAATTTGTTAAATGTGATGAGATAATATTATTATCACTGTGCATGAAAATTATTTACGTAATCCCATTGCGTGTAATTTGGACAGACCACTGTTTTTATGGTAAAGGTGAAGCCATGTTCACTGTTCACCGGTTCATTCGCTGCTTTGAGTCTTAACTAAACGCAGCCCTATAACATATTTAAACACCTTTCATCCACAAGAAATAATTAAATGAATTTTGTTTTTCCTCCTCTGTCAGGGTGACCAAAAACCTCCCGTTCCGCTGTCACACCCTGCCTCCACAGGAGTGTTTCCAGACTTTTATCCGTGCTATATTTTATGTGGGCAAAGGAAAACGTTCCCGCCCCTACAGTCACCTGTATGAGGCTTTAGAGTACTATAAAGGGGAAAAAACATGCAAGGTAAGTCAGCATACAGTCTAAAGTTGTTAAGTTAAAGGAAACTTTACACACGTATGTAACGCCAGGTTTTTATTTTCTTTGACAGAGACTGTGCCCCAAAGTGCAGCACATCCTTCAGGTGTGGAAGGCAGGACAGGGCGTCATCTCTCTGCATTGTTTCCAGAATGTCATTCCAGTGGAAGCTTACACAAGAGAGGCCTGCATGGTGGAGGCCATGGGTGAGTACAAGGAGGGTGAAATCCACAGTGTGAATCCACAGGAGAACTCCTGTCTGAATGTCCAGCCCCCATCTGCTTTTTATTGGGGGTCCTCCATCACCCTGTCAAATATCAGCTAAGTCCTCTGACCCGCCACATTAAAACCACCTGCCGAGTGCTGTGTAGATCCCCCTAATGCAGCTACACAAGTTGGGGTATGAACAAGGGGCATCTCGGGGTGTGGTGTCTGGCACACGGCAGTTGATTCTCTGGGTTCTTTGGCTTGTTGTGGCGGATTCTGTGGTATTTGATCGGATTAGGATCTTGGGAGTTTGGAGGCCAGGTCAATATGTTGAGATCTCTATCGAGTTTTAAGGTATTTTGAAGTGTATTACTCTGCTAACCTGGGAAATGCCAGTGCTGTAGGGGTGTGTGTGCTTGACCTGCAACAATGTGTGAGTGTCAAAATAACACCCACATCAATACCAGGTCTCAGTGTTAACCAGCAGATGTTTGAATTGTAAGAGAATCAATGTTTTTCACTACACATGTCACCTGTCAGCATATAATGTGATTGTTGGAAGCAGAAGACAAAAACGGCCAACGTCTAGATGGAATTCTTTTTCATGTAGACTTACTCAAAGTCTTACCTTGAAACAAATTGATGAGCAAAAATGAAGGAGAGCGATGTGGTGGTGAAGCGTCTAGCATTTTTCAAAGTGCACCACAAAAGGATATTAGTCTTACACTTGCCAGCAACTAACATAATTCCCCACTGTCCCAGGGTTGAAGATGCTCACCAATCAGAAGCGAGGGGATTTCTATGGCCTCGTGTCCAACTGGCAGGTGAAGAAGAAGCGGGAGCTTGGCATCCACCTGCTATACAGGGCCATGCAGATCTTCCTGGCTGAGGGTGAGAGACAGCTCAGACCAGCAGACATAAGACAGTAGAGAAACCCACTGGAGGGGTTTATGAACAGTAGCAACACACCAACGCACAGAGGGGAAAATGCCACTACTTCACAAAGCAAGCCTTTGTTGGTCAAACGCTGGGGTGTTGTTTATAACGTCAAGAGCTCTTGGGCTGGTATCTTGCATTTAATTATCTTTCTGCTACAAATGAACTCTGATCTCTCCGTTTCCAACAATTTGTGATCTGTCAAATGTGATATTAGGGCTGGAAAACACAGACACAAAATCATTATACAGCGTCTGAATGTTTCACTCATTTCTACCGTGCAATTTAGAGAAAATCAAGGATTTGGACACCAAGTAACAATTATAACATATTCAGTAGAGGAACACTTTGCTTTTGACGAAGTTTTCTATCGTTTTGGCTCGATTTACAGCAAAGTCTATACTCTGATCTTCTCCTGTATTACTTGATCAAGCTGTGTATCTGTGAGAGAAGCATTTTTTAAAATCCAATTCTCTGATTCACAAAAAGTAATCGGTGAATTGAGGTATCACCAGAGCATTACAGGCGGAGTGACTGCACCTCTTAAAGAATGTATTCATGGAACAAATTAACACGAGTAAAACTGGATCAGTCATAATGTCCATGCATTGATTTTAATATAGAATCACGCAGCCCAGGGTTTCCCTTTGAAAAGGTGTGTTTTGAATTCGTTTCTTTTTGTATGCGCGCTTCATGCAGATTGGAGCTTAACTTTCTCTGTGCAGTTCCTTTAATCTTCCCACGTATGACTGAAAATAATGCAAATAAGTGCATTTCAGCTGAATCAAGTTTCTGGTGTCTCAGCACACATACTCCATCCATAATGTCTGAAAGCATATTTTTCAAAGACGCTAGGAGAATGATACAAATGAAGGAAGCCTGGCAGTCACTCAGGTTATTTTTGTAGTGTAAAAACACATGATAATTTTTTTTAGAGTTTGGTAACTAGCACGATAGGTGTCATTGAATCCAGTGTTTGTCAAAATGTGGTATAATTTGTCTACATGGCTGGTTTTCCATTCTATTAGCCATTCTGTTTTTGTAAAAAAAAAAAAGAAAAAAAACACGACATTGTACTGACAATATAATTAGAGGGTGAAGCAAGTTGATGTTTTAGTTTTTAAAAGGTGAATTAGCGCTTAAGATGTTAAAGTCAGGCCACTGTCTGACTCATTAGTAGAAAGTAGTTGTAGTTTGTGCTCTTTGCACCATTTTATGTTCTAGTATGCAGAATATATAGACTGGACGCCTTATCTCTGATTATTTGGAGTCTTCGTAGTTTTATAAGCTTTTGAAACAAATGAGAAATGGAGACACATTAGTCACAGTAACCACAAACTGAAGTCGCACTGTCTCACAATCTCGTCTACACAACAATGACCAGGGCGCTTAGTTTCAGAAGCGTTCATCATCTTCTCAGGGCGTTACAGGTGATGACTCGTCTGGAAGCTGCACATTTTTATTATACGACAATAAGGCATTATTACTAACAGCTGCAAAATGTAGTTTTTTTTACCCCCCGATCCTCAGGTTTACAATCAAGATATTATGTCCTATAGGGAAGTAAAACACTGTTAAGCATTAACTTTCATATGAGGTGAAAGAAAAAAAAAAATCTCAACAGAAAACAGTGCACACACAAGGCGTTGACACAGTTTTTCCAGTTTTTTCTCATTGGTAAAGATTTACAAATAAAGCCCCTTGACTGTAATCTGTGCTTTTTGACTGCTTTTTAATCTGTCATGTGCAACAATACACTTATAACTTTTCAAAACATGTAATGGAGTTTTTTTCTTTTATTCTAAGTATACTAACAACAACTACTGCTTTGTTGTCTTGCCCCCTTTTTTATTTTTTCCCCCCGCATTACGTAAATGAAGGAAAAACAATGCAGACGGTATAAACTTGGGTGGATTCGTAGTCCTCAGCGTGTCGTTTGGTGTCCCTCTAGTGGACAAAGGAAGTCTTTAATTTTGCTCTTCGATGCTGAGCTCTTCTCTTCACACACATTCTTTAAAATGAGTGTTTTGTGTTCCTATTAGAGGCATTTATTTCATGATGACCTATATATTGTGTTGAAATCTAATGCTACTATTTAACAAGATGTTCAAAAAAGCACAAATCATTTTCACAACCTGAAGTTTATTTAAATTATAATCACTGAGAAGCAGAACTGTACAAATGTGTACCGTTTTGGCCAACAAGGACCCTCGATTCTACAGAAAAAAAAATGCAATTTAGGAATTAATAGCGTGCATAAAATTGCTCTGCGAGAATGAATTTTTTTCTCTTGTTAAAAGATGCACATCTAATTTTGAAAGAATAGGCTTTAATTACTGTTATCACAACTCATTCAGTTTCATCTACAGTCTCCTGCTAGTTAGGCAGTATTTTCTTACGAGCGCGTTCTTCTCTGCGACGCCACGAATGTCCTCCATTTGTGTCTAATGTCGGCCCCGAACGCCGCGACCTAACTCGCACGTTGAATTTTCTGAGGAAGATTGAGGACTGAGAGGTCGCCTATCTCCTCTGAGTAATTACTTTCTCATGCACTTGTTTCACAGTTTAGAGTCTTTAGAAAGCAGCCGTTAAAACGTGCAGGATAAGTACTGTGCAGTATCATAAAACAGAGGAGTATATCTACAAATATTCAATAGAATACTACACTGTAAGGCTATTTCTAACACTTTTGAGTTGCAGTAATGACCCGTGCGGCGCATAAATGAAACTAAAGACCACGTAAAGAGGGGATTTCCAGTTGCACAAGTACTGTTCTTCATCTTCGCTGGTCAAGAAGTGGCAACAGTACAAAACCAGCCCTCTACAGTCTTTTATTGAAATATTAATCAGGTACTTTCCTCACAGGGTTACTGGAGCAGTCTTCAAAAAAAAAAGGCTTTAAACTCACCCAGCGGAATAAAAAGTCATTTATATAAAGATGTTTTATTAGCGTACTGTTAAGAATCAAGGACTGAACCAAATCACACTATAAAAATTTAATTAACTTTATTTTTATATTGACTTTCATACAAGAAATGCTTGATGTCTAGTTAATAAATATAGAATAAGCGTAAAAAAGAGGGATAAAATGTAAAAATTAATGCAATTAAATCAACAAAAATAATTATAGAATTACAATAGAATGCATGAGATAGAATATAAACCCCTGTGAGTATAAATTAAATAAAGCTAAAGAAACATTTTAAATTGTAAAGTGTGAGGCAAGAAAAATATCACAGCTGGCTCTTTTTTTTTCTTTTTTTTTTTGCTGAGTTGAGCATTTAGAAACAAACATAAATGTCTTCACAATATTTGTAACTCTGTCACGCAGTAGAAAATGACAAAGTGAACACAGAAAGATGCACACTGTAAAGGCACAGTGCAAAAATATATCCTCATCAAAAGAAGATTTTAAAAAATTCAGTTTACCATGAAGTGATAGAGAACAGAAATATCATCTTTACATAGTAACAGAGCAGAAACTCTGATAGAAGAGAATAATAATAAAATCATAATACATTTGTAGAAGTCTCTTAAAAGTTGCTTTATTTTGAGCTTGCCGTCTTTTCAGTCAGTTTGTTGAGGTTCTGTTTGGGCGCATTTATGCCATTAATCTATTGTAATTGTAGGTATGTGCTCTGAAACTCACTCATAATGAAATGAATGATTGGATGCCATTTTCATAGAGCATTCACACATGTAGACGACCCAATTTAAATGTAATAATTAATAAGAATTGGTAATAATTTTATCACCCACTGAGAAAAAGTTATGGTGAAACACTGCCACTGTAAATTATATTTTTAAATACTATCTAGAAATATAAAACGTTTGTATTATTAATATCGTTTGTGGCTGTTATTAAAAAGCAGGAAATAACTTAAATATTACCTACAATTAAATATGCATCACATCAGTGGTGACACGCTTTAATGTGTATTATTAATGGACTGCAGATAGGTGTTTACCAGCCTCATCACTTTCACATCCTCAAAGCAAAGACTGACATGAAAGACGCAACCAGGACTGAAACAGTGACCGTTTATTTTATTAAAACGAAAGTGCATACAGGATGGCAACAGTCAAAAATACACAGTGCAGTTACATAACCTTGTGGTTCTTTAATGGATTGTTGAACAGGGTAAAAAAAGCAAGTATATCATTTATTACACATATTACAAACAACTTTCTCAACAAAAAAATATAACACACAAACCATTTAAAATACATCTGACTCATTAAAATATGACTTTTACAGACAAATTCATTTTTAATCATAAAAAGCCACTTTTTTGTTATTCTTATGTATTCATATTCAGAATATGTGTTTATTTTCATGTGGTATTTACAACAACTAAATCATTTTTTAAAAAAAACACTAAATGCAATGCAAACCACCAGTGTATTCTTCTTCAAAGGTCATTTTTTTCCGGCTATCTCGTTGCATTTTCCTATTCTTCCTCAGCTCCTATAGCAAACTCGGAGCCCTCTGCTGCAACCAAGTGTGATTGAGATGCAATCTGAACCGCCCGCGAGTTCGCGACGCGTGTGTTGTCGAGGGAAGGCAAGGGAGGGAGACAGGCAGAGAAATAAATAATGCCATCATCAGCATATCGTGACACTATTCCTTGTGACGGTTGGATGAAATCTGGGACACAGTTGCATTCATCGTTCAGTGAGCTCTTCCACACAGTTAAACCCACCGACAGCAATGAATGTTGATTGTGACCTTTGCTGTGGTTTTGAAGCTGCAAGTATTTTTTGCGTATTTACGCAGAAGGGACGCGGTGCTCTTCGTGCGTTTTTTTTACGAAGGAGTCGTCGGTCGTGTGCAGGTTGTTCCGCGTGTGTTTGACTTCTTTTTTCTTCTTCTTGTTTTTTTTTTTGAGTGACAAAGGCTGGCCACAGGGTACAGTCAACGGTCGATGGTTTTTTCAATTTAGCTCAAACTCACCGACAGCGTTGAATGTTCACTGGGGCAAACACAGACCTGATGGTGACCAGGGATGACAGTCTGCTTAGAGATGCAGAGGGAGCATGTCTTCTCTGTGGGCAGAGAGGCTTCTAACTCTCACACTCTCTCGCTAAAGATCTCTTTCATTCTCAGGAAGGACACTGAAAAGGTCACGAGTGTTTTTTTACTAAACTTTGATGAGAGCATCTTTTCCAGTTAGGCTCATCGGATAACTGCAAACATCTAAACTGAATATTATATCACTTGCACCACTTGTGCTGATTCTAGTTACACGTAAACAACAAGCTTTGTTAGAACAAGAATAAATAATCTCTAATCATCAAAAACATGCTTCCTCCTACATTCTTTGTGTAGCTGTTCACATTGCACATCTTACAAAATGCACAAAATAGGGGTCAAACATACCAAAATACATTACATGGAATTGTAGAAATACTCACTAAGCTGCTTGCAGTCATATTTTTATCTAAAACCATCCATTTTTTTCCTTAACAGAGTTCCTTCCTGTCATTTCTTTCCACCACAGCGACTGTAAAAAAAAAAAAAAACAAAGACGCAGAACTGACTTCGACTCGCCTCTTCTTAAATCTTAGCAACGCAATGAAGCGCTGTTTGCACTATTACCTCCTATGACACATGGTGATTATTATACCAAAGGATGTGTCAGTGCGAGAGAACACATTTTATTTCATCGCAAGTAGCAGTTAGATGGGGGAAGTCAACTTGAAACTCCTGACTCATAGTGGGTTCTTAGTAAACAGCACCTGGGTGGAGGCTGCAGCAGCCAGTTGTCATACGCTGTATTGAAGCGCAGCGGCGCGGCCTCCAGAGAGCCACCAGCATGCCTCAGTGGCTTCATGCAAGGTGGAGGATGAGGAAGACAATGGGTATGAAACTGTCGACTCACCCTGATCAATAGCGTCTGTTGTTTCGCTATGATGTGGCACGGTGGCTAGACTGTTTTTCTGTTTCTTTTTTTTTTTTTCTTCCTCTTGCACAAATACCAGTAAAGAAACTGTCCACCATCTTGTACGAAAGGCCTTATTACACAGTGCTGAATCATTGCTCGTCTTGAGAGAGAGAGAGAGAGAGAGAGAGAGAAAAAAAGTGCAGCGTATGTGACAGGCACAAAAATCAAATGCCACAAAGCTGCCGCAGCAATTAGATGTGACGTGACAGCGAGTGTGGCAGTGAGTCAAGATGTGGTCGGATGATAAATACGGTGTTGGGACACTTTTCCACGGCAGGATACGGTGTGACTAAGATGATGCGGTGGATATCTCATCTCTTGCCAAATACTCCTTTAGCATAGGAAAACATAGGAGTTAAAAATAACAGCATGACTGTCTTTACTATTAAGCAGCAGCAGCACAATGACTGATATTTAAAGAAGAACGCTTCTCCGTCCTTTAGATCACAACGGCTATATATAGACGTGGATGTGCGTGGGTTTGGTTTTTTCTTTTTTTAAAGAATTACAAGGAGAATACATTAACTGAGACACAAATGATGACATGACAGCAGCAGCAGCAGCAGCTCTTGCGATAATAAAAATCAGAAAACAGTTTGCTAGCCGATGACACATCCACCCGAGCTCGGACCGAAAAAAAAAAAAAAAAAAAGCACAGTCCTTGCTGCGAGGGACGGGACGCACGGCTAACTCGGTCCCCTCTTCACTCTCCCCAGCAGTGATTTGAGTGACAGTGTTGGAATTGACAGAAGTGGATGAGAAGGAATGTAGATTTATAAGGTCTTCTCTGGCCGCGGGATGAGGGTGACAGTAGGAAAGAAAGATCCGGGACACGCAACTAGAGAGAGAAGGGCCCTGAGCTGACAATGTGACCCTAATCTGAATGACAAGGTCTGCACATCAGCCCTCAAACCAGCCTGGGCTGTGGTTGAGGTGGGGAGGTGGGGGGAGGATGAGGAAGCTGAGGGGGGAGACAGGAAGGAGAGCGAGAGAGAGAGAGGGGGGAGGAGGAGAGAGAGAGCGAGAGAGAGAGGAATAAGAAGAGACAGGGGAGGGAGGAGGGCAGGCAAGGGTGTCCTTCCTTCAAACATGCTGGCCTTAATGGCACAGACAGCTATGACATTTAACCACTGAATCATTTTTAGATAAGTGGATGTGGTGGGGAGGGTTTGAGACTTGTAAAAAATTCCACGAGGCGTTTTTTTTTTTTGGAAAGAGCTTTGAAAAAAAAAAAGATCATGAAAGCGGAGAAATAATGCTGATCGCAGGATGATCTAATGAGGACGAGGGTAGATTAAAGAGAAACGAAGCCGGGTTGCGATTGTATGGAATGGTTGGGAAAACTTTTTTTTTTTAGCGACCATACTGCTGAGATTCTCTTGAGCACAAACCCGTAGGCGGTTCAGCGGCCGACGGCGAGGCGCAGAACCCGTACGGATGCATCTCCCAGTGGGGAATTACTGTAAACGCGATACAGGATGCCACAGATTAAGGCCACATTTGCCGAGCAGATGTGTGAAATGAGTTACACAACGGCTATAAGCAGCGCTGACAATAGGAAATTGGTTGAACAAGTTTGTGTAATAGATACCGGCGAGTGTTTTCGCAATCAGAACCGTGGACCCTGTCAAAACAGACTAGTAATACCAGACGGACGAATCGCGCGAGAGGTGATCGGATTACTCTAAAAATAACAAAAGGAACATCGGCGGGCGACATCACAGTAGCGTGTGAATGTTCGTTTTTTTTTTTTGTGCGGACGGATATCTTTTCATCAGCCGAGGTTGAGGAAGAATGTTGGGCTCGGAATGTGGCCGACCATAAGACGGAGCGTTTTGGGACAGGATTTGTGCTTTTTTTTTTGACTGTACAGGATTTGAGCCATTTCTTCACTCCATCTCACCTCTTAAAGTTTCCTTTATTATGTCATAGTGAAGATAATTTTGCTTCGGGGTGGAAAATATGGATGAAAAGGAAAAAAAAACATCAAGGTGGACATTGTTTTTGTCGCAAAATTAGTTTTGAAATGAAACCTTATCTAAAGATAACTTGCGACAAATGGGCAGAAATCTACAAAAGCTAGATTTAGCTAATTATTCAATTTGCTTCTGCAGGCTAAATATAAATACGTGTTAGCGGCTTTTAACGTCAGCTAATTTTAGTGATATTAAAGTTCTT